ATTTAACGTGTGACTTGATATTTGATCCTGGAACAACATTACTGTCCAAAAACATAGACCAAACCCTACCCCTACCCATAATTTCTACCAAAAATCAGAGGGAAATGATAGTTGAATAACAAGGGTGCAGAAGCACCTAACATTGTTGTAAGCCTAAAGCAGACATTTCCTGTAAATTTATCCCTCATATCTGATTGGTTGATTGGGATGTTGATCCAGGAACACATTGTACTTGGTGAAATCACGTTCACCATGAAATTACTAGAAATTTCAGTTTTTCGGTGTAAAAGGGCCCATCAATTCTAACTGTATGTGTTTTGCATATGGGAAAAAGAAGCCATAAAATGCCATAAAATGTATGACGTGAGATAATGTTGCATTAAAATAGCCAACAAGATTTAGCGAGTTTCTAAACATTTTCCCCCAAAATAGAACAAACTGAGTAATTTATTCAACTTTTCCACTCATATAATGCAGTTTATGGCTGTATATTTTGTTCAACCTCATCTGTAAGTCATAAAAATGCGGCTATCAAGGTTAGAAATAGGAGTCATAAATGTCTAGATAATTTTAATGGCTTGGTTTTTCATCCTGGCAGCTGTCAAGCATAGAGATAGCGATGTCTTTTGTTTGCTTTGAGACTTTGAAGTCCTGATGATCCTCAGCAAAAGCCGTCTCCAGCGCCAGCAGCAGAGACTGTTTGCGCTTCTTCTTATACTCATCACACATGAACACATAGAGAATGGGGTTCAGACAGCTGTTTAGAAAAGCCAGGCAGTTCACTACAGTTTCTGTTTTTAATAAAACCTCCTTAGCAGACTCACTCCACTGATTCTCCTTTGCACTTATGTAATAAAACTTGTGGATATGATAAGGAAGCCAGCATATGAAAAAGGCCAAGACCACAGCTATAATGACCCGGTAAGACCTGAGCTGCTTCCTCTTTTTGAGGCTTTTGACTCGCATGCCGATAGTTATATATGAAGATGCAATGATCAGGAAGGGGATGAGGAAGCCCACTATGAACCTATATGTGACCAAAGACTTGTAGGATTGTATAGCAGTTGGATAGTTACACATTACTTCAGGCTCTGCTGTTGAGTGATTGATGACTGTGGGGATGCTGCAGCCGATGGATAAAACCCACACAATCTTGCAGATGATTCTAGCTTTGAACAGGGTTCGATTATTCCGACTCCACACAACCATCCATGTGCACAGGCATCGGTCCAGACTGATAGTCGTCAGCAGAAAAATGCTGGCAAACATGTTTAAGTAAATCATGAATTGGAGAAACTTCCACTTGAAGTCACCAAAGTGCCAAGCCATCTTGCATAAGGCTAAAATGAAACTTATGATCAGAGTTATGGAGAAGATGAAGTCTGCAATTGCCAAGTTGAGGAACCAAATGGAGTTGACTGTTGTCTTCATTTTGTAGCCGGTCACAAATATGACGAGCCCGTTTCCGATGAGACCTACGGCAGAGATTGCCAAGTAAATGCATATTTTGAAGACGTTAATGCCCGAAAAGTCCTCGGCCTGCACGGTAGAATTGTCTGTAGTGAATCTGGTCACATTTTGAGGTCCAAAAGTAGTGACTGTTACTCAAAAACAAGAGAAAATACAATAAGTGTTGGTCTCTGGAATCTGAATATTTCTTATGGTACATTTCACATGCAACAAATTTTTCTATGCCAGGACAACATGCAATATGAAGCATAGTTTCACATTCTCACTTCATATTTAACTTTATTTCTTTTCTTCTTTCTTTCTTTTATTTGTTTATTTTTAAAGAAGAATTCCACCATTTTCATTTAAAAGTGAGCCTTTTAACCAAATTTCAGATAACAATAGTTTTACAATAGTTCTGTGATGGAATTTTAAACATTTCTGAAATAAAAATGTATTTACTTTAAGTACATACATTAAATAATATTTTCACTCTTTTTGCAATTGGAAAAAATTAAAACATGACATTTTGAAAATTAAAATTGTGCCATTTACCTACATTTTGTTGTTCATATTACATTTTGTATGAAGATTTCATTTTGTGTAGTTAATTATAGTGTGGAAAATAAATTTTTAGTAATTTAATTATGATGGATTTTCTTATTTTGAAGTGAAAGGTCTGGGTCTGAGACAGTAATGTACAAAAGGCAATAAGCAAAGCAAACAAACAAGCAAACAAATAAGTAAAAAAATATAAATATAAAAACAAATGAAAGCAACCTTCATAAAACTAAACAAAATACAAATACAAAAGCTAAAACCAACCACTAGGACACTGTCTGCAGTTAAGGACACCTTTATATGAAAAATAATTTGTGAAATCTTTCTAAATTGATATTTTCACCAAGTTACAGAGAGTGTAAAATAACATTATTTCAGCAGGCACCAATCATACATAAAATACACAAATTAGACTCTTACCCATTTTCTTCAGTCTGTGTTGAAGCCCATAAAACCTCTTTGCATGTTCTCTTTTCAGCTGACAGTGAACAGCTAATGATAAATTCCCCTTTACTTATGAAAGAGTGATGGTGGGATGGAGTAAAAAGAGAAATATGCTTCTACAGAAATCTATTTGTGCAATTATAAGTTCTATTTCTGCTATCTGAACTCCCACCAATGAATCACGAATGCAGAGAGAAGCGTGTTACCTAGGTGACACGTTATCGGAAAACACCATCTTAAAGGGTTAGTTCACCCAAAAATGAAAATTAGGCTGCGTTTTACTCACCCCCGATGCATCCTAGGTGTATATGACTTTCTTCTTTCAGACGAATCCAGTGGGAGTTATAAAAAAAATGTCTTTAATCTTTCAAGCTCTATCGTTGCACTCAACGGGTGTTGCATTGCTTCAGTCCAAAAGACGTGAAATAAAAAGCACCCTTCCATTAAAAAAAAGTCTCTCACACGGCTCCGGGGGGTGAACAAAGGCCTCCTGTAGCGAATCGATGCGTTTTTGTAAGAAAAATATCCATATTCAAAACGTAATGATCACTTGAATCTAGCTTGCGCTCACTCTTGTAAACGGAAGCAGTTCCGGGAGCATGACGTATGAGTTCAGCGTTGTGCATGCGCTGGTGAGTCTCGTGAAAACCAACGTTTGTTTACAGGATCAAAAGAAGCAAAGTTTCCTTACTTTAGCAAAGGAAAACAAGTCTCCTCTTGGCTTATATCGAAATCCTCCGACATTCTTCTTTACAAATCCTCGTTTTGTACTTCTTATTAGTGACTGCTGTTCTGAGCCGCGCATGCGCAAAGCTGACCTCATACGTAATTCCCCTGGAACTGTTTCCGTTTTACAACAGTGAGCGCAAGCTAGATTCAAGTGATTATTACAGTCATATACACCTAGGATGCATCGGGGGTGAGTAAAACGCAGCCTAATTTTCATTTTTGGGTGAACTAACCCAAACTGAGCCATTTGCACTTGGAAGCTGTTGCTCTGAACCCACATCATGCAGTCAAAGGAGCTCTCCATACAAGTGAAACAGACAATTGTTAGGCTTCAAAAACAAAACAAATCCATTAGAGAGATAGCAGGAACATTAGGAGTGGCCAAATCAACAGTTTGGTACATTCTGGAAAAAAAAAAGAACGCACTAGCGAGCTCAGTAACATAAAAAGGCCTGGCTGTCCATGGAAGACAACAGTGGTGGATGATAGGATCCTCTCCATGGTAAAGAAAAATCCTTTCACAACATCCAGCCTAGTGAAAAATACTCTCCAGGAGGCAGCTGCGTCACTGTCAAAGTCTACAATCAAGAGAAGACTTCACGAGAGCAAATACAGAGGGTTCACCACAAGGTGCAAACAAGGCCAGATTAGACTTTGCCAAAAAACATCTAAAAAAGCCTGACCACTTCTGGAAAAGCATTCATTGGATGGATGAAATTAAGATAAACTTGTTTAGTGATGACGTGACAGAAGACAGAAGCAGCTGGATGAATTCTGAAGTGTATAGAGATATACTCTCTTCCCAGATTCAGTCAAATGGAGCAAAGTTGATTGGGCGGCACTTCATAGTACAAATGGACGATGACCCAAATCACACAGCAAAAGCAACCCAGGAGTTTTTGAAGGTAAAAAAGTGCAATATTCTGCAATTTCCTGATCTCAACCTGATTGAGCAAGCATTTCACTTGCTGAAGACAAAAATAAAGGCAGAAAGACCCACACACAAACAACAACTGAAGTCAGCTGCAGTAAAGGCCTGGCAAAGCATCACAAAGAAGCAAACCCAGTCTGCTGATGTCCTTGAGTTCCAGACTTAAGGCAGTCATCGCCTGCAAAGAATTCTCAACAAAATATTAAAGATTAACATTTTATTTATGATTATATTTATTTGTTCAATTACATTTGAGCCCCTGAAAAATGGGGGGACTGTGTATAAAAATGGTTGTAATTCCTAATCATTTTATGGTATATTTTTGTTCATCTTGATTGTTTTATTTTTCATTTTGTTCTGGTGGCATACAGAGTCGAAATTATGAAAATTGTGTCAGTGTCCAAATATAAATGGACCTGAATGTATGTATGTATGACTCTTGACCATTTTCTGTATGTCTTCAGTCTGTGTTGAAGCCCATAAAACATCTATTCAGTTTTTCATTTGACAGTGAACAACTGATGATAAATTCCCCTTTACTTATTAAAGAGTGATGGTGGGAAGGAGTAGGAAGAGAAATATGCTTCTACAGAAATCTATTTTCATTGACTATGTGCAATGTTAAGTTCTATTTCTGCAATCTGAAATTCCACCAACCAATCCTAAATGCAAAGAGAAGTGTGCTCCCTACAAGATGACACGTTATCATATCCTGTGACACGGGACATCCAAGGAGAAACTTTCACTGTACAGGTAAAATCCAGAGATTTCTTTTTGGGACACTGACTTCATTGATCACAAATCTGTACATACACATTTGACACACTTTTAGTTACAACACAAATAATTGGTCAGTAATTGTAAGACAATAAGCTACTTTAGCTACTTAGAGATTGATTTTAGTACTGTTTTCTTGTCTTTGCATCTGATCAAGGAAGCATTGGGGTCTTTTGTCATCTTTGTGATCCAGAAAGTCCAGATGTTCTTCAGCAAAAGCCATTTCCAGCACCAGCAACAGAGACTGTTTGAGCTTCTTCTTAAACTCATTGCACATGAACACATAGAGAACGGGGTTCAGACAGCTGTTTAGAAAAGCCAGGCAAACCACAAAAGGTGTTGTTTTAGATATTACTTCTCGAACATTTACATTCTGCTTATTCTCCATGGTATTTAATGAAATAAGACACAGTTTGTGAATATGGTAAGGGAACCAACATACGAAAAAGGCCAGAACCACAGAAATAATAAGACGGTAGGACCTGAGATGCTTCCCCCTTGTGAGACGTTTGACTCGCACTCCAATAGCTATATAAGAAGATGCAATGATCAGGAAGGGGATGAGGAAGCCCACCATAAACCTGTATGTGAACAGAGACTGTAAGTCTAGATACTTGATGCAGAAATTGATGACAAATGGAACGCTACATCCGATGGATAAAATCCACACTATCATGCAAATGATCCTGGTTTTGCGTAGAGTTCGTTTATTCTGCGCCCACACAATCACCCATGTGCACAGGCATCGGTCCAGACTGATAGCTGTTAGAAAAAAAATACTAGCAAACATATTTAGCTCTGTCATGAAAGAGAGAAGCTTGGACAAAACGTAGCCCAGCGGCTTGCCAAAGATCAAGACAATGCGTATGACTGGGGCGAAGGAGAAAAAGAAGTCTGCAATCGCTAAGTTGAGAAACCAAATGGAGTTGACTGTCGTCTTCATTTTGTAGCCAGTCACAAAGATGACAAGCCCATTTCCAATGAAGCCCAAGACAAAGATGATGAGGTAAATGCACATAGTGAAGATCTGGATGCTTGAAAAGCCCTCGTTCGCCTGTGTCATTGAGACACTAGTCAGATTATCATTTTCCAAACTGGTGCACACTATACAGAAAAGAGATAAAAGTGCAGTGAGAATTGGTTCTGGAGCAAAACAACATGCAAATGAAACATTTTGTGGCACATTTGACTAGCAACACATTTTCTGTACCATCATTTTTGCATTGAAAAGCTGTAGAATGGAAGAAAAATGCAAGGATTTGAGACACAGTTGAGCTTTTTAGCGTTGCATTTTATGCAACATGTTATGAGTGAACAGATCCTTATTACCAGCAAACCCATTTACAGAAATTAGAAAAAATAAGTTTATTATTTTTAATGTATGGCTTTAGATTACTGTGTCTCATTTACTAACATAATTTGTGTGTACAAAACATCATTAAAATTTCGTTCTAAA